GCCCAGTTATTATAAAGATGTCAGTTTTATTTCCAGTATTGACTTTTTCAAGTACAATGTATTTTAGAAACATCCATTTATTAGCATCAATTCAGTTATTTACGTGCTTCGTGCTTCGATTAGTTTACTAAGAATAATTTATTCTGAAGTTGTAGGCCATTTTAAATATGCTATATAATACCTAATTTAATAGTTTGCTCATGGATTCCCCCTTACATTTATAAAACGTTTTATGGAAAGAGTTTTCAGACAATAGTCCTTTGAGGTAGATAAAGGCAGGGGTATTTCTGCTTTATAGCTGGGTATTTGTAGGCCTTGGTTAGCTAGACCAAGTTGACATAAGCAGTGCTGGACCCGGATGGCACCCCATGTCAGGATCATGATTCTTAGCTTAATTTTCTTTGTATGAAACCAGAGTAGTTTCTGACAGAATTTTTCTTGTTGATAATCTGTTGTTCACTGACCTTCCAAATTGGGATGTTTTTTAGGGAATATTTACATTGGATGACATCCTTTTTCCAGCTTATTTCAATTCCTCAGTTTTTCCTCAAATCCTCAAAACTTAACATTAATTCTGCTAGTGAGCGTGGAGTTTCTGCTGTCAATTGTGCTGTAGTAGCTTGTATTGGTGGTGTGAAATGTGGTTCCTTTCTTAAGGAGTTTACAATTTTAACATTTGTGCTAGGATGGAAATCTAAATGCCGTATGGTGGGAGCGAAGGGAAGTACGTGGTCAGCTCTACGTTAAAGCATCAGGAGTAGTCTTAACAGTGTGTTTGAACTCATTTCTCGAAACAAAGTAGGTGGTGGTTTTAAGGATGTGCTTAGTACAGATTCCCAGACTTATACATAAACCACTTATACAGAGTTCAAGGGCTGGAGGCTTTATCGAGTGTCCAAGTTTTTCAGGTAAGAATATTAACAGTGCCACCTGCTTTATCATTGTATAAAAATAGAACATTTTATGACCAAAACCCTAGAGAGGAAATGGCTGAGAATAATTTGAATAGATTATTTTTAAAAAATTGAATGAATATAGGTTTATGAAGAATTCATTTAGTTTTCCTGTTTCTTTGCATACCTGTAAAAACTGTTATTGACTAGCATTGAGAGAGTTGATTTATTGGAGAGAATGCTGAATTGAGAGCTGGGGAGGAAGGGAAAAGGAATTTAATGAGTTCTTACTACGTGCTTATTTATTTCTTTTAATCCTCACAAGAGTGCTGTGTGGCAAGTATTATCTCTGATTTACAGAGGAGACAGACATGGTGGTTAACTAACTTACCCAACTCACTCACCTAGTAATTAGGGGAGCCTGAATTTTAATCTTTAGGATTTTTTCTCTTTCTGAAGCTCCTGTTTTTTGCATTACGTTAATGGTTCTGCTGCTTATTACTAGCTGTATGATTTTATGCAAAACATTTCACCTGTGGATCATGGTTTTTTCTGTCTGTAAATTAAAGCTAGTTTGAGCATATCAGTTTTAAGGTTTTCTTCATTGAGTGTAAATCTCCCTTGATGAAAAATGAAAGCACTGGCTGAGAAGATAAAAAAAATAAAAACTTGTTTGTGGTAATAGTAATTGAATTTTTGTTATGTTTTTTCCTGTCTGTTTTTGAACTTAATATTTAATATTAGTCTTCAAGTGACACATAACTTTTCAAATCAGTTTGAAGCCATGCTGTAGGTATGATTTTAAGTTGCAGAATATCTGAGACAGAAAGTTTACAGATTCTTTTATAATATAGGAAGTAGCATGTTACTGTTTTTGAGTATACGTTTCCTGTTGTACATAGGTTCTTTGTTGAATTAGCCAGGCATCAGAGGATACAAACTTATAGGTCACTTAGGAACTTTTATATCCTACTGTAGAACAATATTTTTCAAAGTGTGTGCTATTGTCTATTTGTGGGTCATGGAATTAATTTTATGGGTCAGAAATAGCGTTAAAAGTGAAATGGAAAAGTAAATAATAGAATACATCATGGATTAGGGAGGGAAATACTGTTTCCTGAAATTTGTTAGAAGTGTTGTGATGTGTATGTGTCTGGGTTGTGCTGTATTTCATACTAAAGGTCATGGTTAAACATGCTTGAAAAAACACTTCTTTAGGGCAGCATTTCTCAACTGCAGCACTGTTGACATTTTGGGCCAGATGACTCTTTGCTGTGAGGGCTGTCACCTGCATTTTAGGGTGTTTAGTGGATCCCTGCCATTCACCCACTAAGATGCCAGTAGCACTTCTACAGTGGCAACAACTAAGAGACAAACAATTAAAAAAAAAAACGATTCATATGAGCAGATTTTTTTAAAAGTTAAATTGTATATGCTCAGGTTATTCTTTTCACTGCTAAATTTACTGACTTTAGGTACCTGGTTAAAAACAGCTGTTGAACTGGAGAAAAACTGAGTAGGGTAAGGACTTCTAGTGATAGTTTTATTTGGGCTAGATATAGAAATAACAGAAAAGCCTAAGTAGACTTATATAGGTTACATTCTGTGTTCTTTAAACATATTAATTTACTCAATCACCACAAGAACTTTATGAAGTAGTTTTATTAATCTTATTTTACAGATAAGAAGCTGAGTGAGGTACAGAGTAACTTAGTGACTTGCTGGCAGAGATGGATTCACACCCCAGCAGTCTGGCTCCAAAGTCAGCATTTTTAACCACTCTGCCTGGTTGACTCTGTGTATAACAGAGTCCTTTTGTCTGTCTAATTTGGTTCTCAGTCTGTAGCATGAACCAGGTCTTTGCCTTAACTTTTATTATATCTGAAAGATTTTCTAATAGTCCGGTGAGAATATTTATAAAACTTCTTACATGTCTTTTAAGATGTTATTTTCCATAACTCACATGAGAGCATTATTTACTTTTTTGCCATGCTTTTGTTTTTAAAAATTTTATAGCTATTAGTAATACTTTCAAAATCTATCTTTTATTTCCAGTTAGACTTATTTTTATTTTTTTTAAATAAAATGACACATAATAGTATTTCCTGAGATGAGCCACTAGGGAATTTTGTTGTGATTTTTGTGTGGCATTTCTTAAGATAACATTTGCAGCATCGGTTTAACCAAATCTGTCTTGTCGTTGTTTTTGTGTGGCTCAGGAGCTAAGACTATTTTTTACATTTTTAAGTAGTTCGAAAAAATCAAAACAATAATATATTATGACATGTGAAAATTAAATGAAATTAAAATTTTGAATAAAATTTCATTTATACTCATTCATATGACTGCTTTTGTGCTAAAACAGCTGAATTAAATAGTTGCTGCAGACAGTATGCCCCACAAAACGTAAAATACTTAGTATCTGGCCCTTTACAGAAAAAGTTGCCAACCCCTGTTCTAGATAATTTACTTACTGGGGTTCCTATTCATTGTCCTGTTTCCAGTCACTAGAATGTGAGCTCCATAAAGGCAGAGATGTCTGTTTTGTTCACAAAAGTATACCAAGTACCAGAAACAGTGCCTGGCTCATAATAGCTGCTCATTAAATAGTTGAATGGAGTAAAAAAATGCATTAATTTATAAAAATGAATGACTAATTTTCAAAATAATGATAGCTAATATTTATTAAGCACCAATTCATTTTAATCTCACAGCAGCCATGTGAAGTACCAGTGGTGTTATTCCCATTTAACACCAAGAAGAAACTAAGACATTTAGGGAGAAAAGTAACTTACCCAGGGTTACACAGCTAAATAAATACTAGGACTGGAACCTAACCTCAGAGAATTTGGCTGTAGGTCTGGCTTTCTATAAATAACTCTTAATACCTAATCCATACTGCCTTATACAGAAAATACTTATCTATCATATATTACGTATTATATACTATAATATGTAGTAGAATAGTTTTGCTTTCGGAGTTTGTCTTTTTGATACTTTGTCACGAGCCTACTATTCCTACCTGGAACAGACAGGCAGTTAAGACAGGTTAGACTCTGCTTCATTTTAGGAATCCTAGATCAGACTTTGCAGAGCAGTCTAGGAAGTTGGTGTTAGTAGCTTCTCCTCCATTTACTGTCTCTTGTTTTTTAACCTAATCAGATTTTCCCTCTTAAAGTGAATTTTGAAACTGGAATTGACATAATAGAAGGTAGATTTAATGTGGCAGTGGAGGTAATGGAAGGTTTGGGTTTACTTTGAACTTCAGCTTGAATCGAGCTTCTTGATAATATGTATGCTTTAAACATGAGAATTTAGTTTGACAGTAAATGTAAAAAGTAAAAGTTACATCAGAATAGTCATTTTCTCTTGTTGAATAGTAGAATTAGGGAAGATGACACTGTGTGTATTTCTTTGTATTTTCGTTGAGTTTGGTCTTTCCTTCAGGTGCGTTTGCTTTCTTATGGCCTGATGTGCCAGGTTTCACGTTGCACTGTTGCAGTGCTTCCACACCAAAAAAGTACACGACTCCTTATATAAACTGCCAAGTGTTTATCCTGGTTTTCTTTAAAAAATAAATTACTCCCCTGAAATTATCTAGTAATATTCTAATAGCTCAATGTTTTATAATTATTTTCTGAACAGATCAGATGCCTCTTGATATTAATATTTAAACAAACTATAATAGAATGTTTCTGAATTTTTTACATGGTAAAAATAGTGTAGTAGTAGCATAAAGCACATTTTAAACAGAGGAAAAAGCACATCACATTATCCTAACATAACTCTTTTAATGTTTACCTACAACTCTATGGAGTGTCTATATTTAGTATACAGATAATGGAATTTTAGATTTTTGATGGAGTCTGGTTTAATCCCTTTTATATAAAGAAACCATGCTATTTGTTGGTGCATATGTTCCTTCCTTCAGAATTCAAACCAGCATTCCTGGCCTGGGGCCCTTTTTATTACAGCATCATAACTTCTTAGTTTATGAATTTCCTTCCCTACTTTGACCAATTGTAAGGGAGATACTTTGCTATATACAAAACTAAATAGGAATGCATTTGAATATTTCTTACTGGTGCATATTTACATGTACGTATTATGCCTTTTTTAAATTTTTATACAGCTTTCTAAAACCAACTTCTCCAACAACAACGATTTCCGTGCTCTTCTGCAGTCTCTGTATGCTACTTTTAAGGAGTTCAAAATGCATGAGCAGATTGAAAACGAATACATTATTGGTTTGCTTCAGCAACGCAGCCAGACCATTTATAATGTGCATTCTGACAATAAACTCTCTGAGATGCTTAGCCTCTTTGAAAAGGGTTTGAAGAATGTTAAGGTGAGTTGCATGAACGAGTATTTATGAGAACTTGTGCTGTCTTCTGATATGTCATTGGCAAAACTTGTTAGCATTTTCTAGTAAATGATGTTATGTTAAAGAAAGAAAAATTACTCTGATACTTGTTAAAGATGGTAGGGAAGACTTTATTAAAGGGATTACTACAGTGGGGTTTTGCAGAGAGAGATGGGCTTAACTGTGAATATGACAAGGACAAGTGGGGATTTATAGCCAGAAAGCAGGGTGAGGGTCAGGAAAATTGCTAATAGGAAGCATCAAGGCTGGGCGATTCTTGCAAGACTGACTTGCTGCCTTTTGCGGAAGGCAGACCAAGGTGGTAAGATATTCAGAGCAGGTAGATACTGAGGGTTATCAGATGACAAGGTTGGGGAGAGGGGTTGATAGACTGGTTAGGATGATTTTTTGCTAAAACTGGACCAAGTGGGCCAGGGACAGAGCTCAAGGTTGGGGCCTACTTGACAAAAAGACTCAGTGGAGCCTCACTGAGTTTTGATGAGAATCTTTATCAGTTACCACTTTGTTACTCTATACAAAATTTAATCATGAATGCTACTCCCCAAATCTTAAAGGTGTTGTTCTAAGTTGAAATTTTAATTACTTAAAATTTTTAAATTTCTGATAACATTTGCTGAACTCTTAAAAGAAAGCGGTAGTAAATGCAGTCACTGGTGACTAAAGGTAAAATTGTTACTTAGAATGAACATAGTTTAGGATACTAGTGTAGAAAAATTTTCCTATTGTATTTACATATTATGGGCTATTTGAAGTTTGATCTTCGTTTGTCCCCTGTTTGACTTGGTGAAGCATAGATGTAAGTTGCAACTCTCTCAAACCACCACACACTTTTAATTTATAGATTTGTGTTCAAGAAAGACTGTTCTGCATCAGGGAAGAGGATGGACTGAAGGAAGGAAAAGACTCAAGCAGGAAGATTGTTATAAAAAATTATTGTAGTCTCTGGAAAAATACACAATAGCTACTTGGTGGGGAGTTGGGAGATTGAGTAGGGATAGGCTGATGGGAGGGAAGATGGTATTGGGAGATTCACTTTTCATTAAATACTCCTTTATGCTCTTTGAATTTTATAACATGTTCACGTATTATCTAGTCAGTAAAATGATTAAAATCTGAACTAAAGTAATGACTAGTGGAGAGTGGGAGAGGGGACAGACTTGAGAATAATGTAGGATATAACATTGATAGAAAGCAGTGCTTGTCTGTAAAGGGGAGAGGAATGGAGAATGAGAAAAGAAATAGAGTTGAGCCAGACTTTCTACGGAATATGAAAGAGGCTGGGGGAATAAAAAGATCCATAATGAACAGATTGGGTTGGAACTGCCTGTGCAGTCCAGGTGGACGTATATTAATAGGAGGAGGCATAGTCGGGCTTTCAGGTTAGAATGGTAGTTCGGAAAGCAAAATTGATACTTATTAGCATGTAAGTAGCAATAGAGACCACTTGGTTATGCTTAGGGAAAACGTGTCAAATCCTAAGAGACTAGGACATTGGCTAGGCTATCGGGAAGTAGCTGAATAAATTAGTTCAAAAAGGAAGAGACTAGAGAGGACTCAGCAGGAATGAAATATTCCCATATTAAAAAAAATTTTATTATTTTGTAAATTTTCCACATGTATTCAGTTGAGAGGGCTGATAGAGGAGCGGTGGATAAGTTACAGGGAGATATGATCTTAGTTTGTATGAGGAAGAACTTTTCAGCTGTTACCCACAATTAGTCATTTTTGAAGTGTATATGGTCTTCTGAAGGATAATGTAACAGGTATTAATTGTTTAGTGGAGGAGACACCAGGTGACCTTAAAGGGATTCTGTAATGATATAGTCCAGTAGGCCTTTAAGGGCTGCTCTGAAGTATAAGAAAACTGACACGTGGAATTGTGTAAATACATTAGAAGTCAATGGAAGCTTTGAGCAAATACTTTTTATGACATTTTTTAAAAGTATGAGATCACCTGACTAAAGGAGTTCAAGTTTCCTTTAAAAGATGTTTTAAGGACATCTTTTATACTTAGAAAAGTGCAGAGACCACTTTGCTGTTTGCTAGTCTAATGTTTTTCCTGAGGTTTCATGTTACATTTTAAACTGAATTCCTAGGACCAGATACAGTATAAATAATGAACCAATTTTTTTTACTCAAAAATTTTATTTTTTATTGGAGTGTAATTGATTTACAATGTTAGTCTCAGGTGTACAGCAAAGCAGTTCAGTTATACATATAAACATATATATCTGTATCTGTTATATGTATATATAGCTGTCTGTCTTCAGATACTTTTCCATTATAGTTATCAGCATTTTTATAGAGTACAGTTTTTTTGTTTGTTTGCAGAATGAATATGAGCAGTTAAATTATGCAAAACAGCTGAAAGAAAGATTGGAGGCTTTTACAAGAGATTTTCTTCCTCACATGAAAGAGGAAGAGGAGGTAAGCATATTTCTTCCCCTTGTGATTTTGATTTATAAAATTAAAAAAAATGTTATTTCGCCTTTGATTCTTCAAAATAATGTATAGGAAGATGGACTTCTAGTTCATTTTAGGAAATGAAGAAAAACCCAAGGAAAAAGAGTTCATTTTGTCCCCTTAGAGAGTTTGTTGCTTTCCATTGAATGAGTGATTTAATTCATTTACTCAACAAATACTTATGTTGTTATGTGGATGGCACTGTTAATAACTTTTTATGCAATCCTACTGTCTTTCCTGAACCTTTAGAAGATTCTTTGAACTTTTTTCTGTTTTATTTCTTTTTTTAAAGATTCTTTAAACTTTTTAATGTTTTCCTGTATTTTCATATTAAGTTTAAAGAATTTTTAGTGGTTTTTTTAGGAGTAGATTTTTGTAATTAAGTGGTGGTGTTAAATTTATCAGCCTTACACCTAGTGCACACGTATTAGGATATCACTGAATGGATTAGCAAAACATTTTCTCATTCTCTTCTTTCTCTAAAGTGGGATGAATATCAGGGTGAGGAATAGAGAAAATACTTTATGAGAAACTTGATTCTTGTTCAGCTGGAAATCAGTTATTATAGTGATTCTCAGTATAATAAGGCTTCACCTTGTAATCAGATTGCTATTTAGAAAAATCTCCTTTTAATTAAGCCCTTTCCAGACCAGTTAAATCAGGTGAGAGATATTGACATGGGTACAGTTTAAAGGCTCCCCAGGTTATTATAATATGCAAATATGCAACAGGCATTGAAACTACCAAGTTACTAGAGCAGTGTTTCTTAACCTGTGATGTATGTCAGCATTATGAAACAACAACAAAAAGCCCTTGGCTCTACCTCTTAAGATTCTAATTCTGTCAGTTAGAGGTTGGGACTAAACATCTATTTCAGAGAAGAAATCTCCCAGATAATTTTGAATAGTTGAAGGTCTTAGTAAAGCTCTGACTTTCATGATTCTAATATACTGAATACCATTCTTATGTGATGTAGAGGCCCGGTTTAGATAGAGGTCAGTTGCAGTAGCAGAAGGCAGTTAACGGACCTAAATGTCCGACCATACAGAGTGATTGAGAGTGTATGGCAAGCTCTGTACAGGAAGACCTTCTGGTTTGGATGCTTTTAAATTGTTAAGGGATTGACTTACTAACTGGAGAAGCCACAGAAAGAAGGATCTTGTGGTGTTCTTCTGTGCAGTTTTGGATAAGCTAACTTAGTGATAACAACTAAATCTTTATGTCTTGCTCTTAACATGGGCATTTGACCACACTCGAGCCATTAATAATTTAAAAAGTGTACAGTGCAACAGAACCAGTTAAGCATATTTCCTGATGAGTATTTTGTTTAATTTAGGTTTTTCAGCCCATGTTAATGGAATATTTTACCTATGAAGAGCTTAAGGATATTAAAAAGAAAGTGATTGCACAGCACTGCTCTCAGAAGGACGCCGCAGAGCTCCTCAGAGGCCTCAGCCTGTGGAATCAAGCTGAGGAGCGACAGAAGTTCTTTAAATATTCTGTGGATGAAAAATCAGATACAGGTGAGAGTCATATGTTTCGATGGCCAGGAACTTATTCATTCCAAGGCCATTTACTTCTTGTTGATAAGAACTTTATATTTTGTTTGAAGGATAATTTAAGCCATTTGTTTTCAAGTGTAGTAAATTTAATTGATAGTAGTTTCTATTTTAGAATGTAATGTTGTCTGATCATTTAGCACCTCGTATACTTGGACCATGTGCTGTATAGTGTTTCTTAAAGAAGTTTAACATGCATCATAATAGAAATAATCATTATTTTGATAGATGATAGTATCAATATTATTTATATAAATATGTAATACAGATTTTTTAGCCAATCAAAATTGAGAACTACCATATGTAGAGCACTTTTGCAGTGTCATCCTGTTTTCTGAACTCCCTTGACCACAGTGGCTGTTTCTGTTGTTCCTTGTTTTTCTCATCAGTTTTCACATTTATTTAATGCTTACAGTTTTATTTCCATCGTTCCATGTGTCATTCTCTTGGTTTAGATCCAGTAATATGCAGGGGAGTTAGTATGAGAGGCGTAGTTTTTCTGTGTATAGTCACTTTGAGAAAACAAATGACAAATGCAAATAAAATATGCCTGCTTTTTTTCTTAATAGACTACTTCCTCATTTTTAGTTTAATTTATCTTTGATAACTTTGCCTTTTAAATGACATCCTTAAATCTTTTGCTTTTGCTAGATGAGCAGTAGCAATGACATTCCTGTTAAAATTACTTGAAAGTCTTTGGAATCAGTCCTTTTATTTTTATTTAACAAAGTAGATGAGATGCATGTTGAAACAAAGCTGTTTTTATATATTAAGCTGTATAATTAAATCCATAAAGCTTGTGTGCTTCACTCTGAAATGCAGCTTGTGTCTTAGACACCAAGCCAAGACCTATCGTGTCTGGTTTAATTTGAATTATAACATGGGATTTAAAAGCATCACACATTTAATTTTCCCACTCCTTCAAAGTAAATTATAGCTGTATTATGTTTAAAATATTTGCCATTTGAAAGGGTTGGGTTAAAGTAATTTGATCATAGCGTTACTATATTAAAATTGCTTTGTGAAGACAAATCCAGTATATAAGGTACTCAAATTTTTAGTTCCTTAATAATGAATCTTTAAATATTCTTTATTGTACACCTCATTTGCACTTCTCCTTCAGAAAATTGCTTCTGAAATAATACGTTACAGGAAATTGGATATCCAGTGAGTGTTTTCAATAATAGTTATTGACAAAAGATTCCTGATACATGTACACCAGCATTAGTAATATTTACATTACATTGTCCCAGCTGACTCAAGTGGGGGATAAGTAGGTTAAGACATGAAAAGGTTAAAAGAGGTCAGACTTCACAGAGCTCTTATGTGAAATGTGAAAATAAAAGAGGAAACACAAGGAAGATACTGACAGAAGTTGTAGTGCATGAATGGAAAGTGTGTGAGATTTGTGTGTGTCATTAAAAATGCCTTGGAGATCTCATAACCTGGCCGACTCTGCACTTGCTGACTTAAAGCTGTATAACCTGCTGGGTTCCTTTTTCAAATGATGCCTCATGCTACAAAGCGAGTATTGTTTTCCTGTGACGCCTTTGTAAGAGGAAGTCAGTTCTGTGTTCATTATTGTAGCTCCTGCTGATGAAGTATGATTTGGGCTGTGATAGTTTAACCCTCCAGGTTCTTACCAAATTTAACATCTCCATGTTACCTCTAATCCATGTTACTTCCTTTTCACATCTTGCAAGCAGGAAGAAGTGGACTTTAGGCACTGGATTTTATTTGTAGAAATGTGATTGTAATTTCTTACTACATTTGTTCTTTATAGCCTTTAATGTTAAAGTTTTTCTTTTTTATTTCAGAAGCAGAAGTGTCAGAACAATCCACAGGTATAACCCATCTTCCTCCTGAGGTAATGCTGTCAATTTTCAGTTATCTTAATCCTCAAGAATTATGTCGATGCAGTCAAGTAAGCACTAAGTGGTCTCAGCTGGCAAAGACTGGATCACTTTGGAAACATCTTTACCCTGTTCATTGGGCCAGAGGTAGGTAAATGGGATGTTTAGTTTGTTTTAAAAATATTTCAGTCAGTTTTTTTTAAAATAAATACATACGGACATTCATAAGCAAGGCCAGGGAGGGGGACTCTTGAGAGACTGACTAGTGAGTGGGTTTCATAGTTAGATTATGTGTCTGTGTGTGCATTTTTAGGAAGCTAGCCATGCTGAAGTATTCAGGGCGAATTATGTGATATGTGCAATTTCTTTTAAAAATAATTGGGGAAGGAATGAAAATAATTGGCAGAATGTTGATAATCATTGAAGATAATGTGATGAATACGTGGGTATTTATTATGCCACTTGTTTAATGCTACTTATTTCTACTTTTGACTATGTTTGGAATATTTCATCACAAAAAGTTAAAAATACAATTAATAGGTTGTTAGAACAGCTTTAAGTAATTCAATTATTTTAAAAATACAAAATAAACTTTATAAAATTTAAAGGTGAGACATTGTGTCTCCATTTTGGTAGTGGCTCAAGATAGTGGAGTCTGTTTTTGTCTTTAGCATATTTTTTGTGATTAGTGATGCCTCATTCTATAAACTACAATTTTATATAATTTCATTGTGGTAAGTTAGTTTTACATGTAAACACTTAAAGAAAATTTTTTTTCATAAACATATAATGCAGTCACGGGATAAATAAAGCTGATACAGCATGTATTTTTCTGTCACTGAATTAAAATAATTTTTCTAGGTGAGTACCTCAAAATTCATGTAAAAGTTCTTTTTAGTTTTCTATAATTTGTCACTTTGACATGGATATATTTATTTCCCACATAATTAAGCTATGAGTCTGATTTTAAAAAGTTTTATTTTTTTATATCAATATATGGCACTTTTAGAATACACTTTTGTTAGATATTTAATATTTTTTGCATGAAGATGTTTGGAGTGTTGGGTAGATTTATATGAGCTGAATTATTATCTCATGTGGAATAAGTTTTCCTATTGTATGATAATAAAATATTAAGTGAAAAGTCAAATAAGGCAAATATGGGTATATCACATTCTTTTTTGTTTAGCTGTATTTTTGATTATGAAGAATGAATTTTTAGGAAGTAATACATAACTGGACACTATTTGAAATGATCAAATGTGATAATGCTGTGGTAGACTTCTGTGAGGTTAACCAGATCTTAAATATGCTTTTTTTTCCCCTGTTTTTAATATGCTTAAGATGTTCCAGTAAAAATGGTTTTAATTCAGTTAATTTATGGTATTTGTGTTCAATGGTTCTCAATCACAATTGATTTTACCCTCTCCAAGGGATGTTTGAAATGTCTGTGGGTGCATTTTTGTTTGTCCCATCTTGGGGGGCTTTGCTGGCATCCAGTGGGTGGAGGCCAGGGTTACTGCTAAACACCCTACAACGCGCAGGAAAGCTCTCCACAACAGGGAGCTGCTCAGCTCAGAACATCAGTGGTGGTAAGGCTGAGACACCCTAAGGTAAATGTCATGTTAGGGGTTAGGTAAATTAATTCTGCATTGTCGCTTACTTCACAATCGTGTAGTTTAATTGCAGTATATTCTCCAGGATCTTTAAATTATGGTTTAACTTTACCTTAATCTTTCCCTTGACTTCTGTTCCCACCTATTTCTGAATTGCTGGCTGATTCACTACAGAGCAGGAAGTCTTGCTTCCTTTTGTTTATTAGCTACTGTCGTGATGGGGGTGTTGCTGGACCCAGTGTGAAGCCACAGTAGGGGAAGAAGATGGGGTTGTATTCAGTTATTTCTAAAATTGCATGTTAAGACGGTAATTATCTTTCATAGTTCTTTTTGGCATGTCTGAAATTGAATTCTGTGTTTTTAAGTGTAATTTTTTAAAGCCACAATTGAATATTTCTAGCAATATTGGCCTATTGCCTGGGGCTCATGTATGCAGAGGTTTTTTGTTATAAGTAGGTAATTTTTTTGTCATGGTAGCCAGCATACTCTTATTTTGTCCCTCTTATTTATTTGTTGGGTAGGTGACTGGTACAGTGGTCCTGCAACTGAACTGGATACTGAACCTGACGAGGAGTGGGTGAAAAATAGGAAAGATGAAAGTCGTGCTTTTCAGGAGTGGGATGAAGATGCGGACATAGACGAATCTGGTGAGCTTTGTTTGGAGTTAAAATTACTACATGGTGCTTTATTAATTAATGTGACACGTAACAGTTACTTAGGTGTTCGGGTTTATGTATTTTGTGTTTCTAAAGAAACTGGTGTTTTTAAGCCTATTACTTTTTAAACTTTGAAAGAATAATAAGCATATTTAAAGTTTTGTTTGAAGTATTTTTAAAAAATACACAGGGTTGTTTCCCATATGTTTTAATATTTATTTAGACACTTTAAAAAAAATCAGAAAATGACAGCTGGTTTTCCTTATTGAAATAATATACATTCACTTTAGTGCTCTGCAGTTTGCAATGTGTTTTTAGGGCCATTTCAGCTGATTAGTACTGTTATATTGAGTCATATTGTGGCCCAGAGGAAGGAACATGAAGCTGTTGAATCTGTTCATTTATTTGTAAACAGTCACGCCACTTGCCTCACGTGGTTGTTGTAGAACTAAGAAGTAATATACATGGAAATTCCTTGTAAATGGTAAGAGGTTATATAAACTAGTGTAGCCATTCACTAAGCACTGTGAGAGAATTCAAGGGCGAATAAGACTATTCCTGCCTTCAAAGAACTCAGCAAACAGGAGAATTTAGAATACACTATTCTTAATCAAGGTACGTATTGGAAAGTCCTGTAATAGAGGTGCAGTAAGATGCTATTTGGGAATATGGAGGAGAAAGGTATAAATTCTGTTTTAGATACTGTTCTATATAGTAATTATTAAAAGATGGTGAAATAATAAAAAAAATTAATGAATAAGATAGTCTGCTACTTGGTAAAATTGAACCTGCAGGGATTTTTTGTTTGTAAGCTGCCTGCCTGCAGTAAGCTGGTCTGGCAAAAGAACTAAACATGTGGAAAGTAAGGACTATAAATACGAAGATTATTCTTTCAGCAGCAAGTTTATTTTTATGAAATAAAGGTACCACAGCTTGGTATAGTTTTAAATGTTTGGAGGGTACCATGTAAGAAAGAGGTCTATTCTAGTTTAATTTGGTGATTTGCTTGCACTGTGGCAGGCACTTTCTGGGCATGAGATTAATAGTGAACAAAATGGAAAAAAAAATCCTTGGCCTTGTTTAGCATAAAATTTGGAGAGGGGAGGCAAACAGCAAACACAGGAAAAATATATATATTGTATTAGATAGTGTCATCTGCTGTGGAGAAAAATAAAGAAGGAAGTGACTGTGTCAGGAAATCTCTTCTAGCTCTGTGTCCCTTTTATCTATGTAAAATCATGAATGACAGCTTTTATTATGGTTCATTTTCCTTTTGATATGCTATAGTTTGTTGAAAAACTTATACTTGAAGAATATTAAGTAGTCAGTTTTTTTACAAAATTTTTTCAGTACTTGAAACTGGAGGGTTTTTTTTTCCTTCTCCCTACTAGTTAGCTTGATGAGAAAATACTCTCAACTTTTTTTTTTAACCCTTTGACTCTTTTTAGTTGATGTCAGACCTGTTCAACTTTAAGTCCTGGAGAGTGAGACCTTGACCACTTAACTTACTTCGCATATATATGGGAGTTAAAGGAGAGCAAAAAGTATTGCGTATTTAATGATTTGGTGATTCCTTGAGTAGCCTAACTATAATTAGTATATTCTTAGACTTTTGAATTCATTTTACAGAAGAGTCTGCAGAGGAATCGATTGCTATCAGCATTGCACAGATGGAAAAACGTTTACTCCATGGCTTAATTCATAATGTTCTACCGTATGTTGGTACTTCCGTGAAAACTTTAGTATTAGCATACAGCTCTGCAGTTTCCAGCAAAATGGTATGTATAAATTAGCACTAGTTTGGGTATTAAGAAAAAGTAGCAATGACCTACATTTGGCTTGCTTATTCCTAAGTTTAATTAAGGAAAAAAAAATAACAATTTACCCATGAGAGTACCTTACCATGGGTAGGGATACACTGTTAATTTTTATATTTTTCATGTTAATTCTCATAGTAATCTTGGTATATAGATATCATTGTCTACACATTGTAGAAAAGGAAACAGAGACTAAGAGAGGTTAAATCATTTGTTTAGTTTCACAGATTATATTAAGTGATGAAACCCAGTTTTATATGATTCTTTATAATATGTAAGACATGGTAAGATGGGCAACTGAGAATAAATCACTGCTTTATAAAAGACTATCTTGTGACATTCTACATCAGAATCTCCTTGGGTATTCCTTCAAAATATAAATTTCCTGGATCTAATCTTACAATTAGTAAAATAGATTCACTGGGACTTAATCATATAATATATATTTGTAATGCAGAATCAAAGTGATGTTTTACATGCAGAAAAGCTTGAGAACCACTGGATTAATATTATTTACTAAAACTTATGTCTCTTATCTAACTAAAAGGCTACAGATCTTCATAGTGACTTTTTTCCTTCCTAGGTTAGGCAGATTTTAGAGCTTTGTCCTAACCTGGAGCATCTGGATCTTACCCAAACTGACATTTCAGATTCTGCATTTGACAGGTTAGTTATTTTTGAATATTTATATTTAATGATCTCTAACTGTGAATCAATAGAATTGTTCCTGTGATTTTTCATTTGCATAATTTGAGTTTAATTGTACTATAGTTTTTTACTATCAGATTTCAGTCATGTTATGTCAGTAACTTGATAGCACCCTCCAGTTCTTTGCCTCTTGTCCATAGATCCCAGCTGATCCAAAACTCGTGTATCATTGTCATCTTTATAATCTTGTGCTCTGCCTAGGCCTTTTAAAAAAAATTTCTTTTGAAGTATAG